GAAACCTTTAAGTACTTTGATTTCATATTACATTAGAACTAGTCTTGATCTTTCTCTTCAGCCTTCTGCATGTCCAGAAAGCCTCAGCTCTTAAATGCTGCCAGGATAAATACTAAAAAGATCCTCTCTCACTAACTCACAGTGGTCCTGAGGCCGGTACTAGAAATCATTCAATGTCAGGTTCAGAGCAGCTTCATCAGTATTTAATGACTTCAGCAAAATCTAAGCCTCCTTAATAAAACATTCTCATGCTTACTCATACCAATGTCATCTCTCAGCAATCTTTCAATTCAAAATGCATTACTTGTCTCATGTATTTTAGGTTTTGTTGGCCTGTACACCACCAATGCATAATCAGGGCTTAAGAAGCCAGTTTGCCAAAAAGTGATTTTATATAAACAGAGCCAATGTTTGCATGTCAGTATCTGGTACATGCTCAGCTGCACTGAAAGTGGGTTCTGAATAAATGTCGGAAGGTGATAGCAAAAACAGCAGCTACTGAGTCATGCAGGACTAATTGTGTTTGCATAAAATCTACCTGATTGGCTTCCTAATGACGTATTCCTCGAGTTTCCACAGATTGTATCTGCTTCTGCATTTTAATCATAAAATGCAGCCTCAGCACCCATGTTTAGAAATACTTCGATACCACATGTATGATCAGATATGCATTATGGCATATCTCTCAGGCAGGGTGGTTTCTGCAGATTTACCTCGTATCTGGTGAGGCCAAAACTCCCAGAGTATACCACAGGCACAGCTCACTCCAGAGACCAAAGAGGTTTCCTGTTCACTGTGCTGGCTGCGTCCAACTTTTGCAGTATCAGAGAGCTCCTCTTCTCTTTGCCTCAGAGCCAGAGCCTTTAAGGAGAGTAAATAAAAATGGAGAGGAAAAGAAATCTCTTCAAAGCTCCATTTGGAGGATCTCAACCATGGTGACTGGCTCTTGGCAGAGATGGAGATAGTGTAAGAAAGAATTACATTAGTCACGGTCTATCTTATAGATAAAGGAGAGGAACACTACACTTTGTGTTGCAAAGGTATAATGAGTAGAAGAAAATACATATGAGATGAAACTAGCTGGAACTATGGAGTTTCCTTTATTCAAGACTCAGTTGAAGTTTATTTATTGAGCTTTATAAATAGATTAGAGTACTGTACTCATAACCTGTTTTTTAAAAAATAAAGCCCTGTCACTGCCAGCAGCTGTAAAGTAGGCCTTGCTTACATAGGAAATCTCTCAGCAGAATGCTAATAAAATAATGCTATGAAGCATTTGGAGACATACTCCTCATATAAATAGTTGGGATTATCTTCATATATGTGATAGGAATACATAAGCAAGTAACACAGTCACTGTCATTTGTTTTCCCTTTACTCAGAGTGGTAAAAATTCACTTGTACAGGGATCTCAGGGAAAGTCAACATTCTCCCCGAGAAAGGAAAAGTGAAGGTGATAGAGTTTGCCAAACTTCCTATTATTCCTGCTTTATCAGGTAGATTAAGAGCTGAAGATCATTCAGTGCATCACAGTAGAGCAACAAATTTTATATTTCTGCATGTAAGGTTTGCTGTTTGATACCTTTGCTGTTTGATGTGAGTATAGGATACCCCATCCCTGGAGGCATTCAAGGCTGGGCTGGATGTGGCTCTGGGCAGCCTGGTGGTTGGCAACCCTGCACATAGCAGGGGTTGAAACCTCATGAGCATTGTGGTTCTTTTCAACCCAGGCCATTCTATGATTCTATAGGACCAAGCTCTCCTCTACCAGTAAAATGTACAACTCTACTGACCCCAGTTGGGGTTACCCCTCCTGAGTGCCAGCTATAGAAATCAGGAGAGATAATCACTGGAATTCCCATTGTGTACTTCCAGTTCTGGGCTAATGACAACTGATCTTGTCATCATCATTAGCTTTACTTAAAGCAAATGCTTCCACTTACTTCCTTCTCAGGTTTTTCCAGCTTTGAAAAATCTCCCTTGTATCTCAGTCAATGTCATCATGGCTAAAAAAACTCTCTGAAGTGTAGCAGTGCCTTTGCTCAGCATTGTGACTCCATCAGGTCACTGAGACTTTAGGAAACTGTATAGAGAAAATATTATTTACTAATCAGTGTTGTCCTTGAGAAATCTGCTACAGGAGTTAGGAAGGATGGTTGATTGGGATCTTTGCTTCAGCACTGTTTGGGAGCTACTGTGAGTGAAGAATCACAGGAAAAAAAAAAAGATATGCAGAGTATCACTCCTTGCTTTCAAAAATACTGTTTACCAACCCATTAGGCTGTCAAAACAGCATCCAGATGTTACTGCAGCCCTTTCAGATCTTTATACATATGTCTCAATGCAGAGAAACTCAAGCTGAATACATAGCAGCAATTACAAGGCACATCTGCAACAGTCTTTATTCCATTTGAAAATTCTTCAGCTGTTCTGTTTCTGTTTGCATTCTTCAAACAGGATCTGGCAAAATAAACACAGTCAGAGATCAGATCAACACTCCTCTTAAATGCAATGCCTTTCGTTTATTTGATGGTATGTATTGCCAGGCTGGTGCTCGTGGTATTCACACCCTGCTGCCAAATATTGAACTTCACATCTTAGTATTGATCTTTATGTCTTCTGTGCTTGATCAGGAATCCCCAAGCAGAAGATGCTCTGATCTCAAGCTGCACAACTCTCTCCTCCCCAGGAGGCTGACAGGGATCCCTTCTCCCTCTGCTAACCATGAGTGCTTTTCTCAGGAAAGACTGACTTCTTTGCTAAGTATTCAAACTCACTTTGTAGATGAAAATCTCATACAAACTCCTGGAATACAGATTGAAACAGTCCTTTGGGTCTGAATCACACAGTCCACATTTCAGGGCCCAGAGTAGCAGCAATAGCCCACATCTCCCAGTGCTGAGCACTGAGTGATAATTCTGTGCCACTGTTTCACAGCTGACCAAACCCAGTGAGAAAAAGTGTATAAACACAGCCACTCACCCATTTCACAATGGTGCTGCAGTCAGCTCTCTGCACCCCTGAGCATATTAAGGATTACTCAATGATGTAATGTTGAAGACACAGCAGTAGACAGTAAAGGCAGCTGAGCTCAGGTGATGGAGAACTGCACTTCATCAAGCTTCAGACGATAAGTAGTTCAAAGAATGCCCTGGTGGTGCAATTGATGTCAGACACAAATTTCTCTTTTTTTTGGGATTCCTGCAACCCATTTGATATGCTCCAAACATTTTATCATGCCCAGGGCTTACCTGGAATATAAAATCCTCCTGAACAAGCTAAATGGTCAGTCTTCCCTAGATGAATCTTGTGGAGAATCTAATGGCAGAAAAACAGAACTCACATGGCAAAAAGACAGACTTCCACAACTACATTTAACATGTCAGAGCTGTGGTACAGCACTGAGAAGACAACTCAGGAAAACTTTCTCTAAAGAGAGAGGTGTGTAAGTGAGGCTGCCTTCCTCCCATTTTGCTGCGATCACAAGTAGACTGCCTGACATGCCCTAAAGAGGATCACCGAATAACACAGATAATCACAGAATTGCAGGGGTTGGAAGGGACCTCAAGAAATCAGTGAGTCCAACCCCCCTGCTAAAGCAGGTTCCCTACAATAGGTCGCACAGGTAGGCACCCAGGCCTACAGGCCTACCTGTCCGGAATGTCTCCATAGAAGGAGACTGCACAACCTCTCGGGCAACCTGATCCAGTTCTCCGTCACCCTTACGTAAAAAGTTCTTGCACACGCCTGTATGGAATTTCCTGCGTTCAAGTTTTGGGCCAGCGCTCCTTGTCCTATTGCAACACACCACCAAGAAGAGCCTGGCCTCATCATTTGCCTCCCATCTCCCTTTAGGTGTTAATTAACACAGATCAGATCTCCCCTCAGTCTTCTTTTCCCCAGGCTGCACAGACCCAGCATCACCTCCCTTGGCCTGCCGGCCTCGCTCTTTTTAATGCGCCCCAGGATACCATTGGCCTTCTTGGCCTAAGGGCTCGCTGCTGGCTTACAGCCAGCCTGCTGCCCACCAGAACCCCCAGGTCCCTCTCTGCACAGATCCTGTTCTCTAAGCAGAACAAACCAAGTGACCTCACACATTCTGCCCACTAGACTGCCAGCATCTTTGATGCCCTCCGCTGGGCATTCCCTCAAGTTTTCAGTCTTTCCTGTATTGTGGCACCCAGAATTGCACACGGCAATTGAGCTGAGGCCGTCCAGCACAGGGCAGAGCAAGATAATCCTTCTCTACATCAGCTAGCAGTGCCGTGCCTTTTGCCCAGCAGGGTACGGTCAGCCTGCATTACCCACTGCTTTACCAGGGCATGCGGTTGACCCACATTCAACATGTCACCAACCAGAAGCCCCAGGTGCCTCTCCACAGAGCTCTTCTGCAGCCCCTCTCCCCCAGTCCTACATGTACCCAGCGTTGTCCTGCCCCAGGCGCAGAGTCCTTCCCGGCTCCAGCCTTCCTGTGAGCACAGGGAAGGCACAGCAGGCGGCTGCTGCAGGTGCCGCAGGCCACAGCCCTGCATCTCCTCAGCTGTGAGGAGCCGAACCCAAAGTGCGCTCTCTCAGGCAGTCTCTCAGCACTCAGAGCAATGCCTGTGTCCAGGGATGGCATCACAGCGGGGCGTTGTGGCCTCACGGCCCCGGGAAGCTGGGTGGAGGCTCCCCGCCCCTCTTGTGATGCATTGCACCAGGGCTGCTGGGGCCGATGCCTACATCATAGAAACACGGAGTCATGGAATGGCTGGGGTAGGAAGGGACATCTAAGAACTTTTACCTCCAACCCCACTGTCGAGGGCAGGGATGCCACCCGCTGAGTCGGCCTTTCCAGAGCTCCCTCTAGCCTGGCCTTGAACGCGTCCAGGGACAGGGCATCCACAACTTTGTGTGGCAAACTTCTATAGTGCCTCCACAACCCTGAGAGGGAATGCTTTCCCAAGTGCTGGCCCCAGACCCGTGCCCTGTAACCCAATGGAAATGGTCACAGAAGCAGCTTTGGAATAGGATGTTTTTATTGATCATAAAGATGGAACTTGATGGAAATGAACCTGAGCCCTCAGCACCGGTAACAGGGGCACTGGATGGCTCAGGGGAGTCCTAAGGACTGCAGGTATGAACGGAAGAGATGTTGTCAGCGGGAGAGCTGCTGGGCCATGCGAGCTGAAGGGAGGGGTCTGTGCTGATTCCACTGCACAGCTCGGCAAATTCTGCTTCGGAGGACCAGGAGAATGGGATGAAGTTGTTTCTTTCATAGATTACATCCTCCTCTTCATCCTCTCCCAGCTCCGCTCGGCATTTGCCTGCGTTCTGATCTCTCTCGCAGTCGGTGTCAGGAGGAGCTTGTCCTGCAGCTGCCCGTTCTCTCTTGCGCGCCCTGTGGGAATGAGTTTCAGAAAGCACTGCTCACCGATAGGAATCGAGGGACGCTTGAAAGGCCTTGCAACATAAATGCCGGCAGTGTACTGCCAGCAGCTGATTTGGCCATCAGGATCCTGTCACCAAAAAAGCTTTGTAGCCAAATGCAGCGATAGTGTCTTGGGGAAAAGTCAACTCACAGGTATTTTTTCCACATCCATAGCATAGGAATGCAGGCCAGGGTCAGCACGGACAGCAGCGCAGCTGAGACCACAGCAACCACTGGGATGTGGCGTTTTTGCAGCTCCTTGCCAACAGCAGCCTTTGTGATTTTCCCTACGTCCACCCCTGCAAGAACCGAGACAGTGCCGCAGGTTACTGTCATCTGCAATGCAGATGATCTCACAGTGCGCTTCACGGAGCCAAGAGATTTCCTTTTTCATCAGTGGGTACCTCCGTCTCCGGTATATAAGCACCAGAGGACAAGAAGGATTGCTTCCACTTCCCGTTGGGTAGGGAGAGGCTGCACCGGCACTGCCCATCTGTTCCTCTGGGCTGAGGGCCGGGCTCTGCCCTGGGGTCTGGGCTTTGTCCGTGGGCAGCACTGCAGAGCAGAAACCCTCACACTTTCCCCACATTTCATGTCCGGAGCTCTCCCCCAGGACATTCCCCAGGCTGAAGGTCAGCCTCCAGCCAGCACAAGGCACAGCTGGAGACAGCCCAGTGGAGAAACACTCCTGCAGGCTCCTACCAGGCAGGGCTCATGGCCCTCGGGCTCCTTTGTAGCACGTGCTCTGTAGGAACATGCTCAGGTTTGGCTGCTGGCCTGCTGTGCAAGAGCAGGCAGGGAGAGCCTGGTGGCACGCAGTGATTCTGGCTGGGGACACTGGATGACCACGGGACTGAAATTACCTGGCAAAGCAGCTGCTTGTTCTGCCTGAGCATTTTGGTCAGAGACTGGCTGCGTGTCACTGCTGCCTTCCTGCAACGGCTTCTTCTGCACAGTCTCTTGGTCAGTCCCTTTAGTTCCGCCATGCACTGCCTCCCCTATTTTCATCACGGGTTTCCTTTGGACACGGGATGACCACCAGGCGTAATACCCTCCTCTCGATGCACCCTTTCCTCTTTCCGGACCTGCACAGAATGCATGAAATTAAATCTCCCGTGCCAAGGACACGCAAAGCCCTCCCTGGGGGCACTTCTGCAACCAAAGAGCCGTGAAAAGTTTCCGTACACGACGGCATCGCTGTGGAGCACAGTGGAGCATACCGGGGGATCGTGCAAGGAAAGGGCACACACACGCAGCACTTTGCCCTCACACCTGCCGAGAGACCTGGCCGACATTCGGCCTTTGAGCTGGCAGCTCGCACAGGAACTAAAAGCCATGGCATACCCGTGTGATCTGACAGAGCTTCAGTCCTGGAACTCGGCGGGGAAGCTGGATGACCTTCACTTCCAGTCACACCTGCAAACAAGCACAGGACAGAGCAACTCAGACGTTCTGCCAGTCAGAATGGCAGAGCATGCGATTGAAACAGGAGATTCCTTCACGACGCTGTTCTCTCCCACACAGAAGCAGCTTGGAAGCAGATCCTGGGTGCCCACGTGGGGAACCACGATTGTACAAATCTAACAGTGCATGGAGCTACCCAGAGGAACGTCCTCCTGGAGCTCACGCCAGCTCTAAATTCAACTGCACCACGGTTGCTGGCTCTGCAGAAGTGCTCCCGATCAGGATGATGGTATCTTCGGGAGGCACTACTTCTGAAGTTACAGCAAGAAAGTTTAGAAACAAAGCCTGGGCTTTGTGGTGCTCCTCGTCACCAGTCTGAAAGTGTCATTCACTGGAAAAAAAAATGCTACACGCTTCCAGTTCTGTTGCACGGACAGCAAAACCTGGCCTGCTGGGAGACCGGCAGGTTGCAGGTGAGTTTGTTGTTCACAGTGCACGCTGTGCGTTTCTGACAAGCTGCAAGGTGATGCTAAATGCCTTCTTTCAAAGGGAACGGGCAAAAGCTGCAGCCGGTTCAGACACAGGAGCAGCACCACAGCAAGGCTCTGGCCCGTCCCTTCCTGCTATGCATGCTACAGTTTCTCCACGAATACACGTAGAACCTCAGCTTCCCAAGCCTTTTGGTGAACAGATGGAAATATACGCACCAGGGACTGCCTTCTCCAAATCCTCCTTCATTTCCTTGAGGACAGGGGAATATTTTCCTGTCTTCAGTTCCTCATTCCATGTCTCAGGACCTTCATGGAAAGTTTTAAGATAAATTTCAGGCAAACCCATTTCTGATGTGAGTGCTCTTTCTGGTGAAGTCAATGAAGGCAGACTACCCACCTCTGGGATGCCAGCGGGACGCCAGTCGAGGATCTGGCAACGCCCTCTGCGGAGCCACGTCTGCAACCAAAGAACCACGAGAACTTTCCACCATACACTGCAATCTACGTATTACAGCTGCATGATGGCGTCACTGAGGGGCAGGTGCTATCGGGGAATCATGCGGTGACAGGGCACGCAAAGGCACGTCTGGATTCTCATACCTTCAGACGTGCCTGGCTGACATTAGAGCTCTGAGCTGGCAGCTCTCAAAGGAAGTAAAAAGCCATGACATACCCATGAGATCCGCCGGACCTTCTGGCCTGGAACCCAGCTGGGAAGCTGGATCCCATTCTCCGCCATCCACATCTGTAAAGACACACAGGACAGAGCAGCTGCCGTCAAACCTGCCCACATACTTCTTCAGATGGGAGTGACAGGGGGCTACTTTGCAACCCTCTTCTCTCTCTTCAACGCAGGAGCACCTTGAAAACAGTTGCTGGGTGCCTGCAGTGGCGCCGTGCTATTGAAAGTGGAACTGCACAGGGAAAGGGAATGGGGAAGGGGAACACCTACAGACCCTTTCCTTCCAGCGACTTAGCTGGGGGATTGCCCTGAGTCTCATGGAGCAGATTAAGATGAGGCTTCCACAAGCCACTGCCTACGGACGCAGCTGTCGTCAAGGGCAGATGAGAAATGTTCCCATTGCACGTGGCCACCTCTCTCTTCCTTAGAACCTACAGTGACTACACGGGGCTCAGGTAGTGACACGCGAGCCACACGCAGGACAAAAGCTCCCAAGTTGCAGAGGGGCCAGGGGACCTTGCTGGCTGGCATTCAGCAGCTTTCAAAATACTTTCTCCAGGCCACGTGAAAGAGCCCTCCGAGACCTCATGAACAAAATTCAGCCCCTTGAGGCTTTCTGACTGGGAGACCTCGGAGTCAGAGAGACAAAGGCAGCAGTGGGAGCATGCAGCACCCAGGAATCAGTGGACTCCATGCATTTCACCCAGCACTGTCACGCTGGCCGGTGAAGAGCCGAAAGCTTGCTGAGCTATCACCACCAAGTCTGAGCAAATATCAAGGCAATGAAGAGTGGGGACTTGCCTCTGGCGTCCAGCCCAGGCTCAGGGACAGGATTCCACTCTGCCGGTTGTCCTTGAGGGCCTGCAGGGAAAAGTGAGATCAGACACGGGTGAGCAGAGCAGAGCTTCCTCTGCATCTCGGGGCTACTTTTTCCTCAGTGACCCGCAGGGTGTGGTGGCGGGTCAGGGATTGACGTGGCGCAAAGAAGAAGGTCTGCGTTCTCACAACTGGAGAGAGGCAGGGGTAACCTTCCCACTGAAATGTGGCCGCTCTCCCAGTAACAAACTACTCATGACTGATCTGTGCAAGACCTCCAAGGTACAAGCAGGTTAGGAAGACCTTGAGAGGATCTGAAATGACACTGTATGCTACTGGGGCACAAATTTGTCTGCCTTCTTGGAAACAGGCACTCAGAACCTACCTCTGGGTTGATCCCAAGGCATAAGACCTGGATTCAGACTAATGTCTGAATAGGTCGATTCACCACCACCAATGTCAGCATCTAGAACCAAGAATCAAGAACTGATGAGAGACGTTCCCATTGCTGGGGATGTTGTGATCTTCTTCTCCCTTAGAAACTGGAGGTGGGTCAGGTGACGGGGCGGGAGAAAGACTCAGGTCACGATGTCACAGTTGCAGAGCGGCCGGGAGGACCTCCTGGCTGCCACCTGGCAGCTTCCACAATGCGCTCTCCACGCCACGCGCAACAACCCTTACGGACCGCAGGGAAGAAGCAGCTGCCCCTGGGGCCTGTCTTCCTGGGACGCCTCTGGTGTACACAAAGGAAGGTCACACCGAAGCACCGGAGGAAAACACACCTGTGTCTTGCTCTGGGCTGCGGTCGGGGCTCTGTGTTGGAAACTGGGATTCGTCTAGGGGCGTACCACGAGGCCGGAGCAGAAATGCTCACGCTTTTCCCAGCACACAGAGGACATCACCCCTGGACATCACCCAGGATGAAGGCTGCGCTCCAGCCAGCAAGCGGCAGAGCCGCGGCCCGGCACGGCTGGAGCCAGCCCTGGGGAACAGTGCTGCCATGGGCTCTTGCCCGGCTCCTGCGGTGCTGCCCGTCACCGTCTGCCTAACGTCCACCCCGGAAGGTGGCCCCAGGGAAGGGTGACTTCAGGCCCCCCGTTTTCCCAGTGTTGGCCCCGTCTCTGCCCACTCACCTGCTGCCAGTGCTCGAAGCGGAGCAGCACAAATCTCGCGGGAACGCAGCGCCATCAGCAGGAGGAGCACGACAAGGCGGGCAGGGGCCGTGGCCCCCCACACTCGTGTCATGCTGCCACCACCACCACTGCCGCCACAGCAAGTGTTGCACTTGGGGCAGGCGCAGAGCAAGGCCTGTGCCCAGGGACAGCATCACAGTGGGGCATTGTGACCTCATGGCCTTGGGAAGCCGGGTGGAGGCTCCCCGCCCCTTGGTGATGCGCTGCACCAGGGCTGCTGGGACCGGTGCTTACATCATAGAAACACGGAATCACGGAATGGCTGGGGTAGGAAGGGACGACTAAGAACTTTTACCGCCAACCCCACTGCCGAGGGCAGGGATGCCACCAGCTGAGTCAGCCTGCCCAGAGCTCCCTCTAGCCTGGCCTTGAACGCGTCCAGAGACAGGGCATCCACAACTTTGCGTGGCAAACTTCTATAGTGCCTCCACAACCCCGAGAGGGAATGCTTTCCAGCTCGGTGTGCCCCTGACACCTCAGGCCACCAAGGACAAGATGTGATATAGAAACCGGGTCTGGATCCAGGGCGCTTTTGCACAGGTTACCCACGCACGTGAAACGTGCTGCAGTACAGCAAGCCAAGCACATAAAGCCTCTCTGGTACAAAGGCTGATGGCTGAAATATGAACACGGGCAGCTAGACCCTCCCGCAAACCTGCCAAATCCAGCATCACGTGCTTACATTCTTATCGGTACATCTGCAGCTTCACCTGTTCTCTTTCAGTTTTCCATACCTCGGCTAAGGACATCCCCTTTCCTACACCAGGCGTATTTCCCATTGTTAGTGTGCTTCCATACCGAATTTAGTAGTGGAAATGTAAGACTCGCCGGTTAGCACCTCCCGGCCGCAACGTCCAAGTGAGCTCACCCACTGCTGGCAGCCGGACGCTTGGTGGCGAGAGGCTCTGACGGCCATCGCCTGCAGGGTCCCGCCTGGGTCTCTGGAAACTGCGGCAGCAGCTGCACTCCTGCCACCTTGCACTGAAGGAATCACGCTGCTGCCACCTCCAGCACAGTCTCTCCAGAGAGAAGCGATCAGTGTCTTCTTCCCTCCTTCCCTTTGTGAGGAAGCTGTAGACCACCCAGACAATAGCTCTTGATGTCACAGCATCACAGAATCGCAGGGGTTGGAAGGGACCTCAAGAGATCCGTGAGTCCAACCCCCCTGCTAAAGCAGGTTCCCTACAATAGGTCGCACAGGTAGGCACCCAGGCCTACAGGCCTACCTGTCCGGAATGTCTCCATAGAAGGAGACTGCACAACCTCTCGGGCAACTTGATCCAGTTCTCCGTCACCCTTACGTAAAAAGTTCTTGCACACGCTTGTATGGAACTTCCTGCGTTCAAGTTTTGGGCCAGTGCTCCTTGTCCCATTGCAACACACCACCAAGAAGAGCCTGGCCTCATCATTTGCCTCCCACCTCCCTTTAGGTGTTAATTAACACAGATCAGATCTCCCCTCAGTCTTCTTTTCCCCAGGCTGCACAGACCCAGCTTACTCAGCCTTTCCTCATCAGAGATGTGCTCCAGGTCCTTTGTCATCTTTGTGGCCCTCTGCCAGACTCCTTCTAGGAGATCCATGTCTCTTTTGAACTGGAGAGCCCAGAACTGGACACGGCATTCTAAATGCAAATATACACTGCCAGGGCAGAAGCTCTGAACAAGAGCTCAAGGACAGTCCTCCACGTATCAAGTCTCCCCAGCACTTCCCTGCTCTGGTGGGAGCTTGGGTGACCGTCCCAGTCAGACAAGCCAGCTGAGGCTGGGCCAGAGGAGGCCCTCCCTGGCGTGCGGCTCTCTGATTGCTTCCCTTGCACCAAGTGCTGGCCTCAGTCCTCTGCCGTGTAACCCCATATATAAGCACTGCAATGGGCTGCCCATGGACGTGGTTGAGTCACCGTCCCTGGATGTGTTTAAAAACAACCCTTCACTACCCTTTCTGTAGTGAAGTTTTTCCTGAGATCCAACCTAAACCTCCCTGGCACAACTTGAGGCCACTTCCCCTTGTCTGTCACCACTCCCCTATCCTCCTAAATAAGGTGGAGATGTGGCTGGCCTCATCCTTCTGTAAGGTCTGTGGATGCTGGAGCTGCCTGCAGTTCCCTTCCAGCCCCCCAGCTCTGGAGTTCTGTGTAGAATAATTCTTAACAAAATATTAAGGTGGATTCCAGTGATTGGATGCAGGGCCCAATAAAACAAGCAAACAAACCAACGTGCAGCTTGCTTATACATGATTTCTGTATCGGCCTCCATCTTGCCCCTTTTCTTTGTTTTCAATACTTACTCATCTTGCTTGGCTCCTCCCAAGTATTCCCCTCCCCACTTAACTTTTCCCCTTTGCTCCTGGGTTTTGCTGCATTGCAGCGCAGATCGGTGCTGTTTGCTGAGGGCATCGTGTGCTCTGGGGCCATGACTGAGTTTCCTCAGTACTGCTGGCGCTGCTCCATTCCTGTCTCCACAAAGACACCCATCCCTCCCTCAGACACACGCGGAGCCATTCATCCGTCCCACCACTCCCCTTAACCTCCCGGAGAACAGCGCTAAGGGACAGCTGAGTACCCACACAAGGCAAACTGCCTCTGAGGCATTCTGTGCACCCTCAGCAGATCTGGGGCACCGCCTTCAGGACAGCACGCAAAACCACAGCAAGGTTTGTTTGAGAGCCGCTTCTGGTGCGCGTGACGCCTCGAGGGCCTTAGGAGCAGCTGTTTCCCTTTGGGACAGAGCCTGAAATTCGTGCTGCTGTCATTCACAAACCTGGGTTGCACACTCAACCATGTGGCTCCGCATCCATCCATACAAGACATAGGGCGCTGCTACGGCAGAAGGCAGCCGGGGGTCCCTTCCAGCTCCTGCCCGCACCCGCCCACGGCGGCACAAACCTCGGAACCAACGGTTCTGTGACAGCAGCGCCGGCGGCGACGAAGCCGGGCGCGATGGGCTGCTGCGCGCCTTCGGGAGCGGTGGTGCTGCTGCCGCCTCTCGTGGTGCTGCTGGGCGCCTGCCGGCCCGGGCACGGCTTCTCCGGCGGCTGCGAGTGAGTGGCCCGGCGGTGCCCTGTGGGGAGGGACGGCGGTTCCGATGCAAAAGCTGACGTGTTTCTGCTTGCAGCACCTGCGGGCTCCGGCCCATGGCTGATGGTTATAAAAATGTGTGGCACAGATGCTCTGCACGGGTCCGTGGGAGGTGGGTACAGGAATCATCTCTCACGGAGGATCTCTCATCACACCGCAGTGGGTCCTCACAACACCACACTGCTTCAACCATGCAACGTAAGGGCCATCCCCAATGGACGTCCACCGCAGGTCCACCACCAAGTCTGAGCAAATATCAAGGCAATGAAGAGTGGGGACTTGCCTCTGGCGTCCAGCCCAGGCTCAGGGACAGGATTCCACTCTGCCGGTTGTCCTTGAGGGCCTGCAGGGACAAGTGAGATCAGACACGGGTGAGCAGAGCAGGCCGGAGCAGAAATGCTCACGCTTTTCCCAGCACACATCTTCAGAGTCTGTGAAGGAAAATAAAAGGAAAGGAATTCGCTTCCCATTCACCTGTTTCCAGAAGTGGCAGTTTGTGCATGTTGAAGCAACCATTCTGATTTTCAGTGCTGTATTCCTGCTGTGTCTCGTGCTGCATTTCACATGCTGTAAATCACAGAATAGATTTGCAGATACATATTTTCTTTATAAGCAGAGAGCCATGGAAATATGCACTGCCTCTGTGGTCCAAAGCCCTGTAAAAATCACAGCCTGTTGGAGACACTCTTCTATAAGCATGTAGAATAATTGCTTTGTAGCCAGGATTTCTGATTTGAAAATGAGTTTTTCTTCTCATTTCATCATTCATTTAATTAGGACACTCACTAATCCCTGTCCCAGCAAGCAAAGCCATGCATTTATGCGAGGTGACCTTCTGTAATGACCACATTTACTCACCTATCTGTCACACAGAGTTCAGGAACTGGGGAGCCTGTGTGCTGCTTGGCAGGAAATAGCATTCATCATCCCAAAGAGAACCTTATTGCACTTGTATTAAACTGCATAAATTGCACCTAATGGGGTAAGAGGGAGGAGGGGGACAGATAGCACAGATGATGTCCTTAGCTGAAAGCTGGGGAGCTGAACCCAACCGCAACCTGATAATACATAGGGTAAAACTTTACCACAGAATCATAGAATCACAGAATCATAGAACGGCCTGGGTTGAAAAGGACCAAAATGATCATCTAGTTTCAACCCATAACGCACAGTGACTTGGCTCTCAGGACAAGCAGCAACGTATCCTCATGCTGTCTGGTCATTTTGACCATAATGACACATGAATGACATTATCTGGTGATGATCACACTTTCTTCTAGCTAAATCTGAACACTCGGATGAACATTAAGTAATTTGATACACATTGATTGAAGATGAGGCTGCCGACAGCCATCTAGCTTCCCTGCCCTTCAGCTTCGCATTTGTAAAATGGATATAATATTACTTCAGGGGTGACTCAAGGACAAGCAAATTCAAATCTGCAAAGGTCTTCATAACAGGTACTGATGAGGAGGAGGAACAGCTCTGACAGTGCTGTGATGGAGACAGCCACGTGCAGCCCTCTCTCTGACACTGCACACAGGATGCCTCAGCTTGGAGCTGGGCTACTCCTTCAGCCCCCTCAACATACATCTAAGAATTCTTCCTTCTACATCTTTCTCGGTTTTTGTGGTGCACATTGATAAACACCAATACCTGAGAGCTACAGTATATTGAAGTCCAAAAAATCACAGCGACCTTTGTTGTACAGCACAAAGCGCTCTGGAATCCAGCAAATCATCACAGTTCACATTCCTGGGCTTTGGAGCTGTTTGTCTAGATGGGTTTTCAGATTACAGTTAGACTCTGTTTCTAGCTAGAGGTAGAAGAACAGATTCCAATCTACAGGCCACTTATGAAATAAAATCTAGCATCCAACTAAAGCCACTCATACAACTGAAGAGGTAAATACATCGACATATAGACACATAAAGATGCCTACAAACATCTCTATTACGGGGTCATTGCTAAGCTACCAACTGCAGAGGACTTTCTCTGTACGTGAAGACCCTGCAGTGCCACTGAGATCTGCACGGTGTGGATCAGGAGGTGACTCGTGCAGACAGCTGGGACCTCCCCTAGGGGAGCTGCAGCTGATGCTGCTCTGAACTGCCCCAGTTGATGCAGCAGCTCACTGCAGTTGCTTATGGATGTAAATCTGCTGAATAAAACACTTCAAGAAAAAAAAAAAAGAGAGAAGGAAAAAAAGCCCCAGTAATAACTCAGTTACTTCAAAAGTTCTGCTGTAAATCTGTAAGGCTGTCTACTCTGGGTTTCAGAGCCAGCAGATCCCTGGCTTCGTGCAGGCTCCTGAATGGTAGGGAGCAGCTGGGCAGTGACCGCTCCGTGTGTTTACTGTGCTGTTTGGAAAAGCATCTTACAAGCTGCAAAGAACACTGCTCTGTAGCTAGGCTTCCTTATAAGCAGTGTTGCTTTGCAAAGATGTATGAGATCTATAAACAATGACAATACCTGCAGTTTCATCTTTTATTATTTTTCCTTCACAGAAAAGCAAACTCAAACATATCAGCACAAAGACAAGCAATACAACCAGAGAGCAAAATGCAGCAGGCTTTTGTGAACCAAACCAATAAATTCATGTAAATCTATGCCTGCCTGCGTTGTTATGCTGATCTGTGCAGGTTTCTTTTGTTCACTCCAGACACCACAAGGTTACTGATGTGCATCCACACTAGGGTGCCAGACCCCATCAGGCAGTGCTGGTCAGATCTGAGGGGCTCACAGACATTTGCTCCAAGGCTTCATCGCAGCCTTCTGCCCCAACAGTGCCCCACTGGCACAGTGTTCTCTGGTTTGACTATTCATCATCACCTCCAGACGTCCCAGAAGTTCCAAAATTCAGTTTTGTGGTAGTGAGAGGACTCAGGATTAAGATACAAGCTCGGGTAATAAATGTTTGTATGACTGGCATCAGAAAACCTGAACCTTTCCCTTCAGTTCACAGTTCGTGCCACCTAAAGCTGCTGCTCTACCACTGGTCTGTTTTGGCTAACTTTCACCCTATTATTTCCCACAGTCACACAGTATAATTATCTGATCTATAATTGATGCTGTTATGCAGAGCGGCATAAAGAGTTTCCTTATCCCTGCAAGAGGAATAAGGAATGTGCCCAGATAGCATCGATATGTTATTTGTGTGTGTGTGTGTTTGTATTTGGTTATATGGCTGCTTGTTAAGTATGGGATCATTACAATAGCTAAGAATAGCTAATAGCCAGTGAAAAGATGTAAAAATAAGGCTGGATACAAACCAGTGTCTGCTCTCCTGATGTGGAGCACGTTCAGAAGAGAGTGGTCCCAGAGCACTTCCAAAGGGCCAAACCCACCTTTGTCATCTCAGATGCCAGAGACGTGGCGTCTTCATTCAGGGAGCAAAAAGACAAAACACAAACCTATACTTTTCCAACTCCTGTTGCTAACTTAAACACCTTCCCAAACCAATCTGCTCCCAGCTCAGAAGATGGGTATATCTAAGGCAAAAGAAACCAAAAAATGCATCACGTGGGGCTGCAATGCATTATTCCGACCTTCCATGCCTGTCACAGCTCCAGAAACTGCAACGACTTTGTCTGAACTGGCAGCTCTGAATTGAACCACTTGTATTTTGCAGGGCTCTTAAAAGCAAGTGAAATCCTTAAGGATGTCTTTTTTTAATCACCAATTTAAATTCCATCATCTTGACGGTGATAAAAATTGACACCCAAAATTCAAGCAAGAAAGATCGTTGACAGGCTTCCTGGATTAAAAGGAGCTTCGTGCAAATAGACAGAAGGGAAAGAAACAACTTCCTAATTTATTAAAAAGGGATTCGGGTAATTAAACAAATATTGGAAAATTCGGTGTTGCCTCTATTTTATCTTTACACAGCAAGAACATTAGCAAATCCAGCTGTCTGAAACGTTACATAGCGGTGGTATCTTCTGATGCACCCAGTCTTAGTGTAGGATTCCTGATTAAATAGGCTAAGTAAAACCAGAAAGCAGCAGAAACTTCAGAAAGTTTACAAACCTGATCCTGCATCGCTTGCATAACATGAGCTTGAGCAGATCTAATTCAGAGTGCAGACGTTATATGAATTGCTCTCATTTTCTTTGGACAATTTAGGAAGAAAAAGAAGAGCTACGGAGGGTCTTCTGATAAAAGGGATAAAAAGACATACCCAACACTGATAATGTGCAGTTCAGTTGTTCTGCAGACTGGATGAGCGCGCATTCAAGAAGCTCTCCTGCTTTCAAAGGTGCTATGAGTTTTAGTGGCAATGCTTTGTGCTTTCCTGTCTCACCAGCAGAGCACAAAATATCAACCAGTGCAAATTATAGCAGGTACAGAACAGAAACCTCTGTGTTCCAGTCCTACACCCTCACTCAAAAATCATGCAGCTTTACACTTTTTACTTTCTGAAAGCTAATGGTATTCATAGACAAACAGCAATGGATGATTTCAATAAGACTTTTGCCCTGCAGCTGCTCAAATATTGTTACTACTCTTTTTGTTTGTTTTCTTGAAAAAGCTAATGGAAAAGCAAGAGAGAAAAAGGTGAAGATCCAACACTTTAATGACAAATGGCATTGAACGTGGGAGCTGCCTGCTCATCCGTGGAATTGTCTGAAACTTTGAGCAATCAGCTGTTGGTTTGATTTTTTTATTATTATTATTATTTTTAAATCTAAACAGCCAGAAAATAATGCAAAAAATCCACTGCCTTTAAAACATTTTTTCCCTAGGTGTTTTCTCTACCAGAGCATTTTCACAAGCTTCCCAAAACCCATTTCACTTCCCTTGCTCTCTAAGTGCTATAAGACATTGTCACAGCTCTCCTGCAGCAGTACATCATCCTTCATGCCACTATACAGCCACCATAAAGACAGCATCCCTTAGTGGGACTGCTGTCGCAATGTGGCATAAATAATCATAAGGACTGCTCAGAAGTAAAATTTCTTATCTCACTGCCCCTCACCCTTTCTTCACGAAGCAAAGATGGTTCTGAAAAAAAAAAAAACCAACAACGGAATAATAGGATTTAGATGCATTTTTATGCTTTATTTTTCATTTCCTTCTAATTTCTCTGATACTAAATTATGGTGTTGCTAGAGCCCATAGCAATATAAGGTGCTCAAAGAAGAACAAGAGGGAGCAGGTTTCTGGGATATAGGGGTAGGCCTGAGGGGCAGGCTGTTATTACTACAGCTAACATCACACAGTTCTCATCCCACTAGAATATTCAGGCACAAAGTACTGTAGGCAGCAAAACAGCT